AGACAAATGATGCTATATTTTCACCCCAATCATGTAGTTGCGTCAACCGAATCGTATTATATTATGTGAATTGAAATCCGTTATTTTCATTGTTCTTCAAATTTTTCAGATTTTTTTTTAAAGAACAATTTTCATGTTAGATTATTAACTAGTAATAGATGTTAGGCATTAGATTATTCACAATGAATTAAACTCCTTGAATTATCACGATAATATATTAATACGAATTTAATTTAATAGTCATTTTTTAGCACCAATCATCAAGCTTTCCTATTCATGAAATGCTTGGAGTTAATAAATTCATAATTAAAATTGAAATTAAAATAAAGGTTTAAAAACCCTAAAATCTTAAAAATAAAACGGGTTTTAATGATTGAAGGTTTCTAATTTTTTTAGTAACAATATTTATTTAAATAGTATTCATTAATTATACTACAGTAACAGTAATTATTTAATTATTATTTAAAATTTATATTATAGTTTTCAAACAATGGAATTAAAATCAAGTATGTAAAATAAAAAAAAATAAAAATAAAATAATTAATACTCCCTCGAAAGATAGGGCAAAACTCCCTCAAAAGATAGGACGAACCTTCGTCTCGAACGATAATCTCCGTCACGAACGATTCAACTCCGGCAGTATGGCCAACGAGTTGGCTTTAAAATATTCTGCTCTTCGCCTAGAGGAGGAGGATTGAGACCTGATTGACCTTGGTAGTATTGGTTGTCCAAAATCGAATGATAACATCGACTTGCTGCTTGTGGGAAAACTCTGTACTAATCGTTTGATCAATGTGGAGGCTTTTAAACGAACGATGCTGAAGGTATGGAGTCTCACAAATAATTTAGTGATTAGGGTTATAAGTCTGAATTTGTTTGCATTCCAGTTTTTTCATTGGAAAGATAAAGAAAAAGTATTAAGGGGTAGACCTTGGTGTTGGAAAAATCATCTCTTAATTTTAAAAGAAGTGGAGGGGGATGAACAACCAGACCGTGTTAAGCTTACCCAATCGCCATTCTGGATTAGAGTGCTTAATTTGCCTTTTAATAGTCGTTTGAATGCTTATGTAAAGGTTGTGACATCGAATTTGGGGGAATTTATGGAGATTGAGGATGATGTTTTAGGATTGGACAGGTATAGAAGGATTCGAGTATTGGTTGATGTTGAGAAACCCCTTCGTCGATATCAATGGATGAAAGACAAGAAAGGTAATGAAGTGCGGGTTGATTTCAAGTATGAGCGTTTACCGTACTTATGCTTTGCATGTGGTATTATCGGCCACTTTGAAAAAGATTGTGTGAATGTGAGTGAAGAAGAGAAAATGCAGGGGCTGAGATGGGGGTTATTTTTGCGGGCATCTCCAAGAAAAGGGGTGATGAAGAAGGTGGAGGAGGTGACTCAAATTACATCAGGCAAGAAACAACTCTTTATTACTAAAGAGAATGATCCTACTAATGTAGGGGGGTGTTTGTCTAGTGAACTAAAGAATGTGGTGAAAGGGATCACTCTGTATGGTGACAAGGAGGAATTTAATAATGCTGAAGAGGAGAAAGGGAGTGGAGATTCTTCTGAATGCTAGTCCAATTATTGGTACAAGTAACGAGGGAGTGTTAGGGGAGGTGGGGACTACTAGGAGACATATGGAGGAAAATAATGTTATTTTTGATAGCCCGTGTGTTTTCAATGTGGGGTCTGCTACGGCAACTAAGCAAGGCAAGAAGAAATTTTGGTTCATGGAAACGGAAGGCAGTGGTGCAAAGTGGTGAGGAGCTCAGTGAGGTAACCCAGAAGAAAGCTAGGGGTAATTTGGCAGAAGCTGGTTTGTCTGACACAATCCAAGTAGCGGTGGTTGACGATGTTCAACCCCGCGAAGAGCAATGAAAACCTAATGTTGGAACTTCAATGGGCTTGGCAACCCATTGACAGTTAAAGCTCTCCGAGATTGGAGTTGGAGAGATAGGCCAAATGTTTTTTTGTTATGGAAACAAAAATTGATGCTTAACGTCTTGAATTGATTCGTAATAGTTGTGGTTTTGCGAATGGTCTTTGTCTAAGTAGTAATGGAAGATCGGGAGGATTGGGATTATGGTGGAGAGATCTGAATGTGGAAGTCGTGTCTTATTCGGCTCATCATATAGAGGAAAATGTGTGCGATGCTAGTGGAGTGCCAAGCTGGAAGATGGTGGGGGTGTGTGGGTGGCCGAAGCAACACAAAAATATCGCACGTGGGACCTTATGCGTAGCATTCATGTGGGCTGCACTATTCCGATGCTCTATTTTGGTGATTTTAATGAGATTTTGGGGTTGCACGAGAAGAGTGGTTGGGTGACTCGAGGGGAGAGGCAAATGGATGGGTTTCGAAATGCACTAGAGGATTGTGGGCTTTGTGATCTTGGTTACAAAGGTAGCATCTACACTTGGGAAAGGGGTATATCGATAGATACTTTGGTGAGGGAAAGACTTGACAGATACGCTGCTTCGAATGGGTGGTGCCCTATGTTCCCGTATGCCGAGGTCATTAACTTCCCTATTTGCCATTCCGATCACGCTGCTATATTGTTGAAGTTTGGGGAGAAGGATGAGTGTGATAGGAAGGGGAAAATATTCCGGTTTGAAGCTCTCTGGTTGTCAAACGATGAGTGTAGTAAGGTGGTCTCCGATGCTTGGCAGGGTGGTTTGAGTGAGCCGATGCATACAAGGATTGCCAGGGTGGCGGAGGACCTCTCATCTTGGGCTGGAGGTAAGTTTGGAAGCATTAAAAAAAATATTAAAAAAGCTGAGAAAAAGTTACAGGAAGTGCAGAAGGGTTGGCTCGATGCTCGTCGGTTGGAGCAATGTAATAATATCAAGAAGGAGATTGATGAGTTAAGGAGGCTTGAGGAGTCGTATTGGAACACTAGAGCAAGATTAAATGAGTTGCGGGATGGAGATAAAAATACAAAATACTTTCACCATAAAGCATGTCAAAGAAGGGCAAAAAAATTTATTTCAGGCATATATGATGAAAATGGTGAGTGGAAGAGCTCTGTGAATGATATTGTTGGCGTCATTGCTGGGTATTTTGGGGCTTTGTTTAGATCGGATGATCCAAGTGGTTTCGAGGAAGCGACTGCTGGTATCACGCCTCTTGTCACGGATGAAATGCGGGATATGTTGGAAATCGAGCCGACAAAGGAGGAGATTCGGGATGCATTATTTCAAATGCACCCAAATAAAGCTCCAGGTCGTGATGGTATGCATGCTCTATTTTTTCAAAAATTCTGGAATATTGTTGGTAGAGGTATGATTAATTTTGTGAAGGGGTGGTGGCGTGGAGAGTTTGATTTGGGTGAAGTAAACCGAACTTGCATTGTGTTAATCCCGAAATGTAATGAGCCGATCGAAGAGGATGACGGAGTTCAGACCAATTAGTTTGTGCAATGTGTTGTACAAAATAATTTTGAAAACTTTGGCAAATAAAATGAAACATAAGCTTGGCTCGATAATTTCCCCAAATCAAAGTGCTTTTGTGCCAAATCGACTGATTACAGATAATGCCCTTATTGCATTTGAGATTTTTCATTCGATGAAGAGAAAGGGAGAAGGGAAGGATGGGTCGGCGGCTCTAAAGCTGGATATGAGTAAAGCATATGAGTGAGTGGAATGGAGCTTTTTGGAGAGGGAAATGCAGAAAATGGGCTTCCTGCAATCGTGGATTGATCATATCATGTTGATGTTTAAAGGTTTTGATGATGAGAAACTTAAGTTACAGCAAACTCATCTCATAAAGACTTTTCAAGTGTTTGTGCAGCCTAGGTGAAATTGATCTTGGAGATGGAAGAAGTAACTAAAGCTGAGAAGACTTGAAGGAGTTCTTTATCAAGAAAGTTATTCAATATAAAAGAAGAGTTCCCTAACAGGAACTGAGTTCCCTCACAGGAACGTTCCTTCACAGGAACTTGAAGATTGCTGACTAAGATCTTTGGAGGAACTTAGTAAGCGTGGAGTCCAAGTAAACCTACCAGAATAAGAGTACAGCGCAACAATGTTTTAGTTAAGATTTTATCTTCTAGATTCATTGTTAAATATGTTAAGTAGTATATGCATGAAACTTATTAGAAGCGTGACAGTTAGCTTGGCAAATAAATTAAAATCGGAAAAGATAAAAGATAGAAATCGGAAAAAGATTTTCTTTAAATATTTATCTCTTAAAATCAGTTTGTTAAAAAGATATTATGCTTTTTAATTCAATATTTCTATCTTATTTTCTGAAAAGATTTTCTTTAGAGGATTTAATTAAAAAACTGTGTTTTAAGATAAGTTAATTTTTACTTATTTATCTTTATGTAAACCTACTGTTTATACAGGTAATACTCGTATAAATAGTAGAGAATAACATGAGCCTAGGTTTTTTGTGAGTTTTATGCGTGAAGAATTTACAGAGCTATAGTCGTGTAAGTTTGCCAAGCTTATCATACTGTCATATTAGTATCGGGTTTCATGCATAGCTTGCCTATCATATACTAGGTGTTAATTCTTGTATTTGGTTTTGGGTTTATTAGGGTGAGAGTATTTTTATCATTGCATACAGAGAGAGCTTCTGGTGAGAAGGGGGAAGATCTGTACTTAGGGAGTACAAGAGAGTTTGAGTGTGGGACTCAGACTGGGAAGAACAGTGGTCTGTTCTGTAGCAAGTTCACTTGGAAACTTGTGAGTAGAGGTTGAATTATAATAGGTTGTAACTTGGTGTTTGCCCTATTATAGTGGAAGTATTTGTGTTTGAAATCCCTAAGGTAGGGTCGAGGTTTTACTTCTAGTTGGGCACTAGAAGGTTTCCTCGTAAACTCTGTGTGCATCGCAAGTTCCTATTTTGTTCTGTTTTATATTTGTAAAATTATTATTTAGGAACTCAACTAAAATTCACCCCCCCTCTTGTAGTGTTCATCTCAATTAACAATTGGTATCAGAGCACAGTTCTCACGTGCAAGCAGATAATTTTGCTAAGTAAGTTCCTGGAGAGATGAATTACAAGGAGAAACTTGAAGAAGGGTACTCTACCCAACGTCCACCTATGTTCAACGGTAAGTTTTATGCCTACTGGAAGAACAGGATGGAGATATTCATCAAGGCCGAAAATTACCAGGTTTGGCGTGTAATTGAAACTGGTGATTTTGAAATAACTCAAACCAATGACAAGCATGAGGTAGTTTCTTAATCTATTTCTGATTATGATAAAGAAGATTATCAGAAACTTGAAATGAACGCTTTAGCTATAAAGTATCTGCACTGTGGACTTGGACCCCATGTACATAATCGTATCATGGGATGCAAGTCTGCCAAACAGATTTGGGATTTGTTACAGGTAACTCATGAAGGTACTAACGAGGTAAAACGTTCTAAAATAGATTTATTGATGTCTTGGTATGAAAGGTTTGAAATGCAATCCAAAGAAACCATAGAAGAGATGTTTACTAGATTCAATGATATTATTAATGAAAAGAACTCCCTTGGCAGGCAAATTCCTATTGATGAACAAGAAAGGAAGATCTTAAGAAGCCTACCACAAGGTGAACGCTGGAGATCCAAGGTTACTGCCATGCAGGAAGCTAAGGACTTTATTAAGTTCAATATGGAACAACTAACTGGATCATTGATGACTCATGAACTTCATCTGAGTTCCAACACTGAAAGTTCCAGAAATAAAGGTTTGGCACTCAAGGCTGAAGACTCAAAAGGATCAGAAGTTGATGAAGAAGAGATGGCTATGCTAGTGAGGAAATTTAAGAAGATGATGAACAATAGGAAGTTTGATAGGAACAAGAAGTATACAAGTTCCAGAAACACAACGTGTTTCAAGTGTGGATCAAAGGATCATTTTATCAAAGATTGTCCTGTTCAGGATGGAGAGAAAGGAAAGACTAAAGGCAAGGAGCAATCCAAGGAGTCAAGAGTCTACAAGCCTTACTTCACCAAGGACAACGTTAAGAAAGCCATGCTTGCTGCTTGGGGAGATACAGATTCAGAAGAAGAAGAGGAGGATCAACCATCAGAAGAAACTGCTCATTTATGTCTAATGGCAAAAACTGATGAAGCTGCCAAGCTAAAGGAGCTTGAGTCTGAGGTATGGTTCTCTTACAATCAATTAAAACATCTGTCTAAAGAGAATCTAATAGATACTGTTTTGGAAATCCAAGAAGATCTAAAAGAATTGCATAGATCCAAACATCTAAGTGATAAAGCTTTGATAACTTACAAAGAGAACAGTGAATGGGTTGATAACATGAAGTTTGACATTCAATACAGGTTCTTCATTCTGTTTGATGACAATAAAATTCTAAAAGAGACTCTAGAGAACTTAAAACAAGATAACATACTCTTGAATGTGAAATTGTCTTTGTTAAAACTGAGTGTTGATACTCCTAACTCTAAAGTTCCTCCACCGACTGATTATCCGAATTTTGATAAATTGAAACATGATTTGGAAGAATTAAAAATGGATAAGGCACGTCTTGAGGGGGAACTTGAGAGGGCTAGGAAAGGTAAACAACCAATAGAGTATAGAGTTCCTGATTGGATCACTAAGGCTCAAACTAAGAATACTGAAGGTTTAGGTTTTAAAAAGAAGTTCCAGAAAGAAAAGAAGTATGTCAACTTGCCCAGTAGCATTGTTTATTATTTATGTGGCAATACAGGGCATAAGCAAGCTAAGTGCCCTAAGAAAGAACAAAGCACTCAGAAGAATATCAAACATGTAAAACAAATCTGGGTAAAGAAAAATGAATCAACCCATGTTACACAGGAACCCAAGGAAACCTGGGTTCCTGACTCTAACGTTTAAATTCTTCTTGCAGGTTCTAGTGAGGGGGAACAACACTTGGTACCTCGACAGTGGTTGTTCTAAGCACATGACTGGAGATAAAACTAGATTTCTCTCTCTAGATGCCTACTATGGTGGAACTGTGACCTTTGGTGATAATATGAAAGGTGATATAATTGCTATTGGCAAGATAGGAAGGTCACGTTCCCATGCTATTGATAATGTATTTTTGGTCGAGGGTCTCAAGCACAATTTGTTAAGTATTTCTCAGTTTTGTGACAAAGGTAACTCTGTTAGCTTTACTTCAAATAAGTGTAGAATCATCCACAATGACAATGGGAACATTATTTTAGAAGGAACTCGAAAAGGGAACACGTATGTTGTGGATCTTAACGAGGTTCCTAACAGTAGTTTAACATGTCTTAGTGTTATTGAGGATGATCCTCTTTTATGGCACAAAAGATTTGGCCATGCAAGCTTTTCTTTACTGGATAAATTAAGATCTAAGAACTTAGTGGAAGGACTTCCTTGCATTAAGTTCCTGTATGACAAAGTATGTGAAGCTTATGCTAAAGGTAAACAAACCCGAATTTCTTTCAAGTCCAAAAAGATGGTAAGTACCAAAAGACCTTTGGAACTCATTCATATGGATCTCTGTGGTCCAATGAGAATCCAAAGTAGAAGTGGTAAGAAATATGTAATGGTTATTGTTGATGATTTTTCAAGGTTCACTTGGGTTTTCTTTCTTGTAAGTAAGGATGAAACGTTTGACGAGTTTGTTGCTTTTGTTAAGAAAGAACAAAGAAGAACAGGTAATCAGTTGATACATCTTAGATCTGACCATGGAACAGAATTTGAGAATTCAAAATTTGATGAATTTGGTGCTGAGTATGGTATGGATCACAATTTCTCTGCCCCAAGAACTCCACAACAAAATGGAGTAGTGGAACGCAAGAATAGGAGTCTTGAAGACATGGCAAGGACAATGCTGATATCAAGCAGGCTGCCTAGGAATTTCTGGGCTGAGGCAGTGAACACAGCATGTTATATACTCAACAGAGTATCTGTTAGGGCCATCACCAACAAAACTCCTTATGAACTTTTGAAAGGGAGAAAACCTAATATTTCTTACTTTAGATCTTTTGGTTGCAAATGTTTTGTTCACAATAATGGTAAAAGGAACTTGGGAAAGTTTGATGAACGTAGTGATGAGGCAGTTTTCCTAGGATATGCCTCAAATAGTAAAGCTTATAGAGTTTATAATAAAAGAACAATGTGTGTTGAGGAGTCTGTACATATTATATTTGATGAGACTGAAAATTTGGTTGATGTACAGGATTGTGATGATGATTTCGAAATTGGACTTGTGCGTAAGCAAAATCCAGATGAGGAACTAGCATCACTGCAGAAGCAGCATGGTGAAGTTGCAGAAGTAACGAATAATGAAACAAATGTTGAACCAGAGTTGGAGAATGCACCAGGAACTCCACTTCAAGAACAGACTGAAAATCTTAATGAAGGCCAAAATGTGGAAACTCCTGAAGAAGTTCAACCTGAGTTCCAGAATCAAGTTCCTACAGAAGAACCAGTCAACAATAATGAAGAGAGGATGTATCCAATCAAAGATTTCACTCCAAGGCCCTGGAAATATTAGAAATCTCATCCAGTTGACACAATCATGAGTGACATCACAAAAGGAACTCAAACCAGATCTCAGCTTTGGAACTTCTGTGCATTCAATGCATTCCTTTCTTCCATGGAACCTAAAAATTATGTTGAGGCTTTAACTGACGCAGACTGGATTAATGCTATGAAAGCTGAACTAAATGAATTTGAAAGAAATAAAGTTTGGCATCTGGAACCTAGACCTAAAGACAAGAAGTCCATTGGACTAAAATGGGTATTCAGAAACAAACTAGATGAACATGGTATTATTGTCAGGAACAAAGCTAGACTAGTTGTACAAGGTTTCAACCAGCAAGAAGGAATTGACTATGAAGAAACATTTGCACCTGTAGCCAGGTTAGAAGCTATTCGTTTACTTATTGCTTTTGCTGCTTATATGGGTTTTAGGCTGTACCAGATGGATGTCAAATGTGCATTCTTAAATGGATACTTAAATGAGGAAGTCTATGTGGAACAGCCTCCTGGATTTGAAAATCCAGAGTTCCCAAACCATGTCTATAAGCTTGACAAGGCTCTTTATGGGTTAAAGCAAGCTCCTAGAGCATGGTATGAAAGATTATCTAAGTTCCTTTTGGCTAATGGTTTTAAACGCGGTAAAATTGATAAAACATTGTTTTTAAAGTCAAATGGAACTGATATCTTAGTTGTACAAATCTATGTTGATGATATTTTATTTGGTGCAACTAACGAATCTCTGTGCAAGTATTTTGCTGACCTTATGAGTGGAGAATTTGAAATGAGCATGACTGGAGAATTAAATTTCTTTCTTGGTTTGCAAATTAAGCAAAATGAAGAGGGAATTATGATTCATCAGCAAAAATATATTAAGGAACTGATTAAGAAATACAAGTTGGAAAATGCCAAAACCAACAATACTCCTATGGGAATTGCTACTAGATTGGATGAAGATCCATCTGGAACTTGAATTGATCAATCTATGTATCGAGGTATGATAGGTTCACTACTTTATCTAACAGCGAGTAGACCTGACATATCTTTTAGTGTGGGTCTGTGTGCCAGGTTCCAAGCAAATACAAAGGAGTCTCACTTGTCAGCAGTAAAAAGAATCCTTAGATACTTGAAAGGAACTAACGATTTGAGTCTCTTCTATCCTAGAAGTGATTCTTTTGATTTGAATAGTTTTACAGATGCTGACTATGCAGGTGACTTGGTAAACAGGAAAAGCACTTCAGGTATGGTACAGTTTTTAGGACCTTGTTTAGTTTCTTGGGGTTCCAAGAAGCAAAACACAGTTGCTTTATCTACAGAAGAAGCTGAGTATGTAGCTGCAGCAGCATGTTGCTCACAAGTCTTATGGATAAAACAACATGTCAGAGATTTTGGTATTATTTTTTATTGTGTGCCTATTTATTGTGATAATACAAGTGCTATATGTATTTCTAAATATCCAGTTCAACACTCAAAGTAAAGCATATCCACATTAGGCATCACTTTCTAAAAGATAATTGGAACAAGGGAATATTAAGCTAGAATTTTGCCAAACTGAAAATCAAATTGCAGATATTCTAACTAAGCCCTTGAACAGAGAAAGATTTGAGAAATTGAGACTGGAACTTGGAATGATCAAGCTGAAGTACTAGCCTCTGAAGTTCCAAGATATGGCAAAGTCAAAAATATTGTAAATAGAGCAAAAAGAACTTCTACCACAAACTTGGTGTGATAAACATAGCTAAAGTGTCACCGTTGTTAACTACCAAAGGTAAGTTCATTAAATTGCTCAACAGTATAAGTTATTAAATTTGTACATTGCATATATGTAGAAAGCGTGTTCCAATTGTGTTTTATAAAAACTTCATTCAAATTTAACTGAATTTGGAAATTTAAAATTTTTGAAAGATTCATCCAGTGTTGAAATTTTGAAAAACTAATTGAATTTGTTCAATTAATGACTAAACAGTGAAAACTTCCTAAATTCTCTCACACCGCTTCATTTATTATAAAAGCAAATTTTCACCCACTTCTTTCTCCTCACTGTCACATCGAATTTACTCCCTCTTAGTAAAACTTTGAAAACCCCTTTAAAACCCTTCCTTAAGCTTCAATGGTGATCATTGCTGAGTTTGTTTCCTCTGAAGAATCCCAAAGTCCAGAAAACTCAATTCAGGAAGAATCATCTTCTTTAGCCATGGTAAACTACAAAGCATCTTCTACCTCTCAAACACCTTCTGAAAACCCTAAGAAATCTCCTCCAAAACCAAAAGAAGCAGAGAGTACAATCGATCAAGGGGATTTCTCTGTCTCAAATGTTCTTCAAAAATTAAAGGAGTGGAAGGAAAGAAAACAAAGTGTGAAGTCTCTAGAAGAGCAAATTGAGGAAGTTGATGAATTTGTGAAAGAGAAGAACCCAGAAGAGATAACAGAGGAGAACAGAGAAGAAGAAGAAATAAGCGAGGGAGAAGAGGAAGAAAAAGAAGAGGAGAACAACTCAGAAAAGGAAGAATCGGAAAAGGAAGATGAAGAAGAGGAGGTAACTGATCAAGAGGAACTTGAATCAATGGCAGGAAGGTATGTAGTAGGTCATCGTCTTGACGCTGTGTGGTGTAGGAAAGCAAGATTTTTAGAGTTTCTTGATTTAATTAAATTTCAAGGTTGGGAATTTCTGTTGACTAGGGTTTCATAACATTACTTGTATCCTGTTTCTATGAATGAATTTTGCCAGAATTTTCAGGCAAAATTGGGAATAATAACAAGCATGGTGAATGATGTAAAGATTGAATTGGACCTAGAAACCCTAGGTAAAATTCTAAAAGCTCTTACTGAAGGTTATGATACTTACTTGAAGGGAAAGGGTAGTATCAATGTAGGAAATTTCATGGCTGGGGATATAGTTGAGGAACTAGGGGGTCAGAGGGGTAAGAAGGTCATGAGTCATAATAATCTAAGCCCTCTAAATAAGCTGCTGTTTAATTTGGTGAAAAAGACTATTCTGCCTAGGACTGCTAAGAAGGGGGAGGCATGCTTAATGGATATGGCTGTAATCTTATGCATTTCAAAGAAGATTAAGGTGAACTTTCCTTCTTTGATGTATCAGCATCTAGCTCATTGTGTTCCAAGTAGGACAAAAGTGGGGTATGGAGCCATTTTGTCTACTGTTTTTGAAAATGCAGGAGTGGTTTTAAAAGGAAAATATGGGGCTTTGAATGAGAAGCCAGAAAACGTGATCAATGAGGAAACCCTTGCTGGGTTAAGTTTGGAAGTTGTACAAGGAAAAATTCAGAAGATAGAGAAAGGAGAGAAAAAGAAAGAAAAAGTGACAGGGAAGAGGAAGGAAAAGGCTATGTCAGAACAGCCTGTAAGGAAGAGTAGGAGGATTT